AAAGTAGGAGTGTGCACAGGGTTGGCTTACTGTGAAATAGGTGAGGTTTGGTGGTAAATCAGCAATTTAGCGAACGATCACAAGTGCCGATGTCGCTACATTGGTTCCTTGCATTACGCACATTGAGTAAGAGCATTGTGGACTGTGACGGACAAGGGTTAGCTTCGTCTTCTTCAGTGATTGTATTAAAATTGAGGGACGCCATTTGTAAGTGTATCCTACGCCGCCTATTAAGCCATTCCTGGAGTTACTGTCGATTTCTATGAAACCCAAAGGTGTGTAGCTCTGCAAACTAAAATTGTTTATGTATTTTGGGAATATGAACAGCGTGTTTTGAGTTTTGGTTGTTGGGTTTGTAAGTGGTTGTTGTATTGACACATTACCCAATTTAATTCGCAATGTTAATTTAGGCAAAGTTCCTCTGTGTATGTTGCAATCGTTAATGTACATGGCGTTGGTATTCTGACATTGGTTCTTAGTGGTGATGTTGTGCTTGTTGATGTTAATGGGCTAAGTAGAAAACCTGATAACCAAACCTACATATAAAGAAAATATTCCATAATAAGAATATAAACATCAAGTAGGCAACACTATCACCCCCAAAAATCACTCCGTACATGCCTTGTTAACAGTATAATAATGTTAACCACATACCTTATTCACACATACCCACTAAGCGTGTGTTTGGCAAGAGGGTTGTGGGCTAATTTAGCCACAAACCGACAAAATTGGCTAAATTAGTCACAAATGGGCAAAACACATTCAGCCTCCGTTTTGGAGCATAACTTCCATACAAAGAGGGATGAAACTACCAATTTACCCCTGGGCTATTTGGGCTACTCTAAGGAGACTCCAATGTTAACCTTTTCTCAATAAAAACACGTTTTCCCAGAAAACCAAAGAAAGTTGAAAAAAAAAAATTTAAAAACATTTTTTTGTTTTTTGTTAAAATATTTTATAAAAATAAATCCAAACTCTATTTATAAAAATATTTTTAATATTTTAATTTTTTTATTATGTATTTGATTATTTTTTGAGTGTAGAGTTGTGAAAGTAGTATGGAGTTTCGAATTATGTGTTTGGTTATGAGTTTTAAAAATAATTTATTAATTGAGTTTTATTTTATGTGTTTGGTTACGATTTGAGTGTAGAGTTGTTTTTAAATTTAAAATATTAACATTTTAAATTATTTAAATTTTTTGATCAATATATGATTTTTGACATCATTTTAAATAAATGACATGAAAAAACGTTTTTCCAAAAAACCAAACAAAGTAAAAAATAAAGAATAAAAAATTAAAAACATAAAATAGCAGTTGCCACATAATTTAAAAATAATGAAAACACATGAAAATCATTTTTGAAAACAAAAAATAAATTAATGTATACAAATAAAAAAAAAATTTGTAAAGCGTAAATGAAGAAAAAAAGAACCACAAAAATAAGTCTCATCACACAAAAAAAACAAAAAAACAAAAAAAAATGTCAAACAAATTAATGTATACAAATAAAAAAAAAATTACAAAAACGTAAAATAAAAAAAAAAAAGAACGACAAAAATACGCCTCATCAAAAAAGATAAAAAAAAAAACAGAAATTACCATTTGCTATGTAATTTACAAATAAATAAAACACATGAAAACCCATTTTTTATATATAAAAACAAAAAAATAAAAAAATAAATAATAACAAGAAAAAACTTAAAAAATGAAAAAAACGTAAATTAAAAAAAATAACGAGAAAAATACGCCTCATTCAAAAATATTTTTAAAAAAAACATGAAAACATAAGTTACCATTCGCGACGTAATTTAGAAATAAATAAAACACATCAAAACTCATTTTTGAAAAATAAAAAAAATTTATTGTATACCAATAAAAATAAAAAAGAAAAAAAAAACATAAATTAATGTGAGTGAATAAAAAAATGACAAAATCGTAAATTTAAAAAAAATAACGACAAAAATACGCCTCATTCAAAAACATTTAAAAAAAAAACATGAAAACATAAATTGCCCTTCGCCACGTAATTTACAAATAAATAAATAAAAAATAAATTGTATACCAATAAAAATAAAGAAGGCAAAAAACGTAAATTAAAGAACAAGAACTAATTGATGTATAAAAAAAAAAAAGACAAAAACATAAATTTAAAAAAAAATTAAGCAAAATATGCCAAATCCAAACCCAAAATAAAATAAAAAAAACAAAAAAAAAAATGTACGCAAAATACACCAAATCCAAACCCAAAATAAAAAAAAAATTAAAAAAAAAATTAAAGCAAAATACGCCAAATCCAAACCGAAAATAAAAAACTTAAAAAAAAAAATTAAGCAAAATACGCCAAATCCAAACCCAAAATAAAAAAATAAAAAATAAAAAAAATTTATTTCCAAAATACTCCAAATCCAAACCGAAAAAAAAAAAAAAATGTAAGCAAAATACGCCAAATCCAAATCCAAATCCAAATCCAAACCCAAAATAAAAAAATAAAAAAATTTAAGCAAAATACGCCAAATCCAAACCGAAAAAAAAAAAAACATTTAAGCAAAATTTGCCAAATCCAAACCCAAAATAAAAAAAAAAGAAGCCAAAAAGGGCATATTGGTAATTTAACAGAAAGACACCTCACCAAAAAGTCAAAAAGCCAAAAAAGTCAAAAAATTCTTCCCAAACCAGACTTTTTAGCTCCAGGCTAAAAAAGCCAAAAAAACCAAAAAACCCAAAAAGACGGACCACTTCCCAAACGGAGGCTAATTGTAAGACAAGGGTACACAAGTAAAATTAAAAAATTAATATAACAAACAAATACAACATATCAAAAAAAAGAGGACTAAATGGAGCAACATTTTCCCATATAGGATTTATGAGTAATTTTTCCTAAAAAATATGTATAATTTTATTTTTGAATCACAAATTATTATAATTTTACTAAAAGATTACACAATATTTGTCAAAGAAATAAATAACATATCCCAAAAAAATATATGATAGAGTGCATAGCTTGATCCACCCTTTAAAAAAAAGAAAAAAAAAAAGTTGCATAGCTTAACTTGTAATAAATTAAAGGAATTTTTAGGATTCGTTTGACGAGGGATGATTTTAGTCAAAAAAATTAAAAAGTCATTAAAAAAATAAAAAAACTAACAATTTATATAAAAACTTAAATATTTTATTTTTTCTCTACTTTTTGTACATCTTTTTGTAAAAAATTAAAAAATAATCAAAAATATATTAAGTTTTTTACATTATATTTTAACAAAAAAACTAAAAAATTGCTAAAAAAAGTATGTTATCAAACGAGGCCTTAGTTTAAGGTCTTTAATTTTAAAATTGTATAAGATAAAAAAATATGTAATATTTTCGTAATAATTAAAATTTCTTAACATTTTTATAAAAAAATTTAGAAACAGAGAAATTTATCTGTTTCAACTCATCAGATTTAAACTTCACAGAGAAATTTAAATTTCACAGATAAATTTTAAAAATTTGACAGAAAAATTTCAGTTTCTATGTGATGATTTGATTTTTTTTAAATAGTATTATTAAAAGATTTTAACTAATAAAAAAAATACATTAGCGCTCTCTTACCATCATAATTGGGACATTAACTCTCTCTTACCATCAATAATTTGGGAGGATGTTTCACTATTTTTTAGGCTTATTGGGTGTGTTTGATTGGACGGACTGGAAAAGGGAGGATTAGAATCCATCGGACTTGAGTCCTGAGACTGTGAATCCCCTGGACTATTTGGTCGGATTGGATATGTATCCTGTGTTTGTTTTTTCATGGGATTAGATGTCTGGATAGGACTATTTTCAGTGAATCTAACGTTTGGTTGGACGGACTGGATAGGATAAATGAACAAAAGACTATTTTACCCTTTTTCAATTGTTTACTAAGTAATAGCAATATTAAACATATCTTTAATATTTTAATTATTTTTAGTAAACATTAAACATACTAATGGTTAAATTTTGTTTAAAGATATTTAAACATACTAATATTGATAAAAAAATTTGACTGGTATAGATTATTTTTATTTAAACAAATAAAAATTTATTGTTGAAATTAAACATACTAATGGTTAAATGTTTAAATTTTTATTTAAACAATTAACATTGAAATTATTTTGATGTACAAATTATGTTTAAACAATTAACAATTAACAATTAAATAAATGTTGATGTATAGATTATGTTTAAACAATTAACAAATGTTGATGTAATTAACAATTAACAAATGTAAATGTAATCAAATGTTGACGTATTAAAACATAATTTAATAGATGTTAAATAAATATACATGTTGATGTACAGATGTTGAAATAATTTAATAAACATGTTGATGTACAAATATTTAAATGTTTAAATAAAACATAATTTAAATAAATGAAATTATTTATTGTTGAAATTAAACATTTAATTGTTTAAATAAAACATCTATTAAAACATCTATTAAATTTAAACAATGAAATTAAATAAAACATAAACAAAATTTTAAAATAAAACATCAATAAAATATCTATAAAAAATTATTTTAAAAAATTAAATAAATAAAACATTAATAAAAAGTTAAATAAAATTATTTTATTTTTAAATTGAGACATTTAAATTTTATTAAATTTTATTAAATAAAATACATAATTAAATAGTAGAGGGTCAAAATGGTCATTTTTGCATCTAATCCCAACAGTGAATAGTCCCCCACATTCTATCCCACCCCCTAGGACACAATAGTCCCCCATATGGGGGACATGGAGTCTGGACTCCATGTCTGGTGGACTAAAAAAAAATCAAACGGTGAATAAGGAACACTATTTAAATTGTAATCTAAATAATAGATAGTCTCCTCACCAATCACCCCAATCAAACACGCCCATTGTGTTTTTTAAAATCTCAAGGCGATTAGTATAATATTATTTTCAAGGTAATTTTCGTACTTTTAATGAATTTTGTGTTCTAATTCATTTTTTAATGCTAAAACAAATTAAAAGGTGACATATTAACATTGAATTCATTTTCTTGTTAGATTCTCCCTGGTTTTCTCGCCAGCCAAACGGAGTCAACGGCACAGTGCCCTAACATAAAACCAGACCCAAGTGCAACAAGAGAGGAGAGAAGTGGTACAGACCTTCTTCTATGGAGTTCAGACCTCGAAACTACACTGCCGAAGAAGCGACCTACTCGCTCCCTCGCTCACACGCCGACACTCATCCTCTTTCCACTCCATCTCCATCACATCACCAGGTCCAATTCTCACCACAACATTCTCATATCTCCCTTGTCTTCATCGATCTTTTTGTCTTCAATTAGCTAGGTCTTTTTTTCAATCTTCTAAATTAGGTTTCCACTTAATTGAGTTAATTGCCTCCGAGTGCATTACAATTCATGTTGTTATTTACTGAATCAGTATTGAGTTTTAGTGAATCAATGGAGATTAGGTCGAAACAATGTCTTATTTCGATGAACATTCAAGATTTGGTGAATAGTATTTTATCTTCTATGCTAATTTATAAAGGGAATGCCGGAGTTGGTGTTCATGTCACAATTTTTTTTCCCCCCCTCGAAAATGCACCAAAAAAACTTGATAATAGCTAAAAACTGTTTAAATTCTCTCCAACGGCCTCAAATAACTATTATCATTATTAGATTCAATTACAAATTGCGAACACATAGTCCCCACCTCTAGTCTATATATAAAACACACAATTCACTTAGTATAAACACTTTGTCGTACAATTTTGATTCCCACAAAACCCACAACAATATTTTATTTTTTTCCAAATATTTATTTTTCCTATATTTTAATATTTATCTTGTCTAGCAGTTACTATAAGGATCAAAAAATTAAAATTACTAAACCAATAACTACTATCCACTATACACAACTCTCTCTCTCTCTCTCTATATATATTGATAACTTGGTATCCGGTCCAATGAATCGACTAGTTTAGGAAACCAATTCCACTGTCCACTAGAGGGGGTTCATTTAAAGCTGGGGCAAAGCCCGGATGGATTTTTCCCAAGAAATTGTTTGCACCTAGGGGCTTTTGAACCTGAAACCTTAGAGGGAGGACACCCCCAGACCACAAGCCTTGACCACCAAGTCAATCCCTTGGCGTTCTCTCCTCTATATCTATCTATCTAGTGTACATACATATTTACGCAAACTTGGTCCCATTCTTTTGAATTTTCCTGAATCCTTTAGTGTGTAAAATTTTGTTTGTTTCTTACATGGTTATGGTATGCAAACATGGTTGATGAATTTGATAATATCTCTATATCTCATAGGTTGATGTTGTGGATCACGAGAAGGATGATTTTTATGATCCGCTAAGGGGTTCAGATGCTAATGGAAAGTTCTCTATCGACAATTTACAAGATGAAGAGAATAGTTCTGCTGTGAGTAAAGCTGATGTTGGACTCCCAGAGAAAGAATGGATCTCTTTCAAGAAATTATTAATGCAGAGATTTTCTGGCCCAAAAATGGTTTCAATTTCTAAAGTAAGAAATCCATTTGTTTGGAACTTGTTTTCATCTAAATACTTTACCTTGCTGTATGCTATTTGGCAGTGGAGAATACAACATTTATAATTTGACAACAAAGGTATATTGAAAGAGGATTTTATTAGTATTTTTTCTACATTGTACAAAATCAAAAAGTTCAAAAAATTAAGAGTTTATTGTCTTATAAAGTGAATCCTAACATTTTTGTTTCTTAGAGCATCTCCAACGGTTACTCAGATTTTTCACCAAATTTGGGTAAAAAATGACTCATTTTACCAATTTGATACCACTCGCTCCAACGGTGCACTTTCATCAAATTTGTGCCAGGGACAATCGGTTGGTCGACCGGTTAAGCGAAATTTTTTTTTTTTTGATTTTATTTTATTTTATTTTTTGAACTTTTTGAACCTTTTAGTGGTCGACCGGCTGGTCAACCGGTTAGGCAAATTTTTTTTTTTTTTTTTTTTTTTTTTTTCTCCCTATTTTTTTTTTTTACTGTTTGAACCTTTTTCTTCGAACCGTTTGAACCTTTAGGCGGTCAACCGGTTGGTCAACCGGCCGGGCAACCGGCTAGTTGACCGGTTGGTCTCTCCCAACGGTTAGGAACAGTGATTTGGTAAAATGCTTCGCCTGCTCTCATTTTGGTACAAGATTTGCTGAATTCTGGATTTGATATCGATTTGGTGAAACGGTTGGAGCTCAAAAAAGTGACTTTTTCATCAAATTTTGAATTTGATATCACGTTTGCTGAAGCGTTGGAGATGGTCTTAGAAAAGTTAACTAACCCAAACCTTTATCAGTATACAAATAGTTCAAAATTCAAAAAGTTCCTAAGACTCACCAAACATTTAACTCAAATCTGATAATTGAAATTCAAGAATAGCCCAATTCCCAATGGCAAGGGTACAAATTTGATTTTGCCAAGTCTCAAAATATCAAGTTGTGCTCCAATACTTGGTGACTCTCAAGAGTCCCTAATCAAATCCAAATTTATAAGTTACTAACTCAAAAGACTACGGGTACCAACCTTGTGCGGGTTTACAGGCTTACACCGAAGGACAAACTTGTTGTTCATGTGCTTCTGGTCACACTACTCACAGAAAGTGGCCAAACCAGTCCACAAATCATGGCTTTCTAGCCCAAGTAACTAGTATTAACTCAAAATCAACACAAGGCATCAAGTCTTAAACTTTAATTTCAAGAAATATCAAACTCAAAATCAAAGTTTCTCAACTTAGTGAAAATTTTCATTTTCATTTTCATTTTCACCTTTCATTTTTTTTTTTTTTTTTTTCAAGAAAATTAACTTTAGTAAAATTTCACATTTTCATTCTTAACTCAACTCAATAACTTAACTGTTTACTAGTTTAATTAAATTTGGCTTGTTTTTATGGAAAGCCCATCTGGGGCAAGTTTCATTTTAAAGCCAACATTACTCAAATTACTCCAAATACTCAGTTTCTTCAAAATCCTCTTTGTCACCCAAATTAATTAGGGGTAACAGCTTACCTTGCCCAATTTTACATAATAGACAATACTTTACATTTCAACAATCAATCAAGAGAGCTCAAAAACCCTAAATAATATGAAACTAGTAACATTCCAAGAATTTTTCTCTTCCAAATTCACTCAAAACCACTACTTACAAAATATGTAGGAAACTTAATTCTAAGCCCGTTATTCATATCTTTTGAAAGATAGAATGGAAACTATTATTAGATTGGAGGCCACTGCCTTATGCAGTGGTAAAAAACTTAAACCGTCAGCATGAAAACAAGGGTTTGACTTTGAGGGTAGCAGTTTCGTGCAACTAAAGTTGGAGATTCAATCTGTTCCCGGTCCATAACTAGTGCCAACAACCTGGACTTGTGGCGCCACCTCTAGGTTGATGGATTAACATCTGTTTGTTGATATATATAGTTATTAGATTTTAAGATTGATGTTTGATATATGCGTTTTGTGTTTCTAAGTTGTGACTTCTAGTCATTGTTCTTTCTACAGATGTCCGATGTAATAGTGAAAAGTGGCAAGGGTACGATATACTTCTATTTTCTTGTTTTTCGATTTACTATTCAAATTCTAAACGGTCTTTGTTTGCATCATTGGCATAAAAAATTGGAAAAAAAAGAGTTATAGTGTTGGAAACAACTACTTGTCTAATTCTGGCTGCTGATCATCGAGATGTCTGTTTGGAAGCTGTAAATTATTTTTTTGTCGTAGTTATATGATGATGCCAATTTGCAGTACATGAGAAAACATCAACTACTATGCCTTTAGAGGAACTGGATGATCCACAAAAGTTTGCTGAAGATGGCATCAAGGTTATCAGCCAGCAGGAGTATGTCTCGTGTTTACATGAACTCAAAGATGAGATTGCTCGTGCTTGGCAGGCTGATGATCGTGTAACATCATTGAAGGTGTCAATCAAAGTGAGTTTTACTGTGATTTTCCATCATTTAGTAATTGTATATGTGTTCATATATAGCAATTACTTTGTGTTCTGTGTACTGTTGTCAAGGAGGTTGCAGAACAGAGAAGGGGACTTGCAACCTTATAAATCCTTCACCAACCCTATCATGTTATGAGATTTTTAGTTTTATTTATTTTTATTATTATTTATTTATTGACAACTAAACAAAGGGAAATTATCAATATACATGTAAAAGTGTAGTAAATGTGTAAATAGAGTATAAAAATATCTGAAAGTGTGGTAGTCTGTGAAAAGTGCATGGAAATTCTAACTATTTTGGTATTTTCTGCATATATGGGCTGTCATTAGCATAAACCTTAAACTAAATAGTAGTATTCATAGCCTCTGAATTTGTGGGAATTCGAGGGTTCGCAGTGGTGAGACTTGAATGTCGACAACATGCCTGGTAAGGAAGCACCTCGTCCACTAGGCTAACACTGCTAACCCCTTGGTCTTTTACGCATATCTATTATCAAAGAAATATATGGTTTCGTTCATTCTTGGGCTTACAGCAAAAAGTCACCAAGTTGTCTGATTTGGTTGTAATAGCAGTTGTTACTGGGTAGAGCTGGCAAATCTGACATGAACCAGCCAACCCTGAAATGTTTGTGAAATGGCGTTGTGTTGGTCATTTTAAAAACAAGTACATTTAGTACTTTGCAACAAAATCCCCATGTTGGGATACTTAAAGGTTGGTATTTTAATCTATTCAAGGGGTAATTTACCTAAAAATCAATTTGACTATTCTGCAGGTTGCTAGGCTTCTGACAGACACATCTGTGCTACAATTTTATCCCACATTGTTTGTTCTAGCTACAGATGTAATGGACATGCTTGGCAATATGGTATGGCAACGCATCAAGCAGAAAGCTGAATTTGCTGAAGATGGAAATGTAATCCGCTCTTTACCAGGTTTTATATCTTTTATAAGTTCAGATCTCTGTCTCTGTCCTTCATCCATATTTACTTGAGTGTTACAGCAATGCATGTCCACATTTTTGCACCTTCACGATTATGCACATTAAGCTAGGATGCCCTTGAATAAGCATTTCGGACAGCATTGTTGGGGTAGGCATGATTGCAGATTACTTGCTCATTAATTTAGATGATTACTGAAAATTTGCTAAATTTTGTGCCCCGATTGTGGCCTGTGAAATCATTTCAAATTAAATCGTGATACAAAATTTTTCACTGAAAGGATATACGCAGATATACTTTCTATCATTAATATTTCTCAGCGTTAATTTACAACTTTTTCTTGCATCATCAAAAAAAATTATTGATAAATCCATTTACAATAATAAAATAAATCAAAAAAGAATTAATAAAACAAATCAAAATAGAATTCACTTTATTTCAACTGTAAAAAAGTCACTTTATAATATTGGTAATACAAATTTACAGAAATTTTTTGACTTATCCTCCTTGTCACAAGCATATGTATTTTACAAATTATCACAAACTCAAGTTCTTAATGCATACATGTGCCTAATGTCAAAGTTGTAGATGCATTATGTAACTGACTATACAAGGAGAGAAAATATTTTGAAATAGATACATATGATATTATGAACATTCTAAAATCATTTTTCAACAGGGTTTCCGGTCATGTTTTATATTCTTCAAATATGAAATTTACCTGAAAACTGTATTTGTTTTTTTGGCAGAGAATTTTGATGAAAAGTATATATGCCTTGATGCCAAAGAAACCTGCAGTAACTGGTTCTTCAAAATTGGTTCTATCCGCGAGCTTCTTCCACGCATGTGAAGTCCTTAATCTTTTTCTTTCCTTCTCTATATTCTACAATAATGTTGTCATGTACAGTGTTCATTCTTTCTTTTCCTTGCTTCAATTTTTATTTATATAGCCTGCAATATCCGCCCACTTTGTTATATCCTAGTTCCTTGCATATATAATGCAACATGTCTTGCTTCATTAGGTTTGTTGAAATTGGAAATAGAATCCATGTTACGCCCTAAATAGTTGCTTGAGAATTTCATGAGTTGACCTCATGTTTCAAGTGATGCCTTAATACCTTGCTCCCTAAATAGTAATTCTCAGTGAATTCCTGTTTCGCTAAATAGTAATCCCTGTTGCCAAAGAATTCACAGATGCCTTAATACCTAACTAATTTTAGATGGTTAATTCCTTTTCCTTGTGTCACTTTGCTCCTTGAACTATCAATTTTAACAATTAACACCTTAAACTATTGAAATTAATTCACTTTTCCTGATGTTGTAATTTTTGGTGGGAGAGCACATGAAATAGCCACATGTGATAATGTAAGACTATTACAGAATATTTCATGTTTGTTGGTTGCTCGCCTACTTGTGCAAGTGAAAATGGGTCTTTTCTGTGACAATGATATTTACTGACTTTTTATTTTGTACTGTACTTCAGTTATTTGGAGCTGGCAATATTGCCTTGCTGGCGTTTTCTGCTTAACCGCCCCATGGATGTTCTTGAGCGATTGGTTATGATGACAAGAGGGATTGCAGATCCATTGGCATCTGCTTATTGCCGTTTATATCTGGCTCATTGTGCGCAAAAATTATCTCAACACAACACAAGTATGCAATTTGCACACATTATGTTGCATATTCAGATTACCAGCTTGTGTGTAACTCAGTGATTGTGCACATTTGTAGGGATCAGCCTTGACTTAATAAAGGGTTGGTCCTTGCATAGTCGAAATAATAACAAATACTAAAAAAGAATAAATTTTCTGAGAGGATAAGATGTTGACCAGCACTGTGCTGAAACTACTGAATGTAGTTTAGTAATCTTCGAACATGTAAATGTGGTTATGAGGAAATATTTATCTTACATTTTCCTTCTTGTGCACATAGCATTTGGTAAGATTATAAATGTGAGAATGCTGTATCAAGTGTGTTTCTGCACCTCCTCAATTTCATGTAATGACTTCCACTCTTCCTGCAATGTTGCTTAAAAAATATATTTTGTTTGAAAATCTATTTCTCCTTTCACTAATACAAATTTGTATGTGGAGGAACATAGTGCAGTTGCTTGTTTTTGTAACGTTGATGGCACTTTTGGTATGAGATAGATGGTGATTGGCTTGTAGCTTTAATGTTGGTCGTGGACCTGGCTAAGACCTCTGCTTTGGATTTTATGATTTTTAACCTCGCCATACTGACCATATCCCAGCATAGTCTATCCTTGTGTAGTGTTTGGTTCATTGGAATGATCATTCCATTAGAATGTTATGATCATTCCATTAGAATGTTCATTCTTATATTTGGTTCACTAAAAAATGAGGAAAAATTTATTGCAAATGGAATCATTATTTATCATTATAAGGGAATGGCCATTCCATATGGAGGCTAAGGAATGATTATTCCATTCCATTTTCATTCCACTGAACCAAATTCGGCATCAATGAATGTTTCTAAAAGGCTGTTAATATTTCGTATTCATTCATCTTATGGGAAACTGATTCTATGTATTGTTTGATTATTATGTAACAGGATATTTGATCGTTTGCATTAGTGACATGGAAATTCTATTGACGCGGTTTCTATCAGAAAAAGAAGCCACACATGAAAAATTTTCAGAAAATTGCAGGTCGCTTGTCAGTTTGACAGAACCAGCAATCGAATATATTATTAAATGCATAATTAAGGAGTCATATCAGGTTAGTGATGGCATGTCATGTGATAATCATACTTTTTTTTTTAATCGTAGTCATGTAATAATTATACTTCTCCTTCTGTAGTACTTTGTGGAAAAGGTGTCCATATCCTGCCATTAAAAAGGTTATAATTTATTGTACTAATCCAGAAGAAGCATGTGATCTAAATATATGAAGCAAATTTATGTACTAGTAGTTCCATATATCATTAAATTTTGAATAACATAACTTGTGTAGAACACACCAAAATGCAAGAGTAAAGAATATAGTACAACAATAAAGTGCTTTGAACCGTTTCAAAATTAATGATTCTATCATGACTGGGTTGGCTGGAAAGACTGCTGGCTCTTGGTGTGCTGGTACACCATCGACACCTCCATGCCTAGGTTTTTCAATGATATTGTCGACCATTATGCCTAGATTCTGTTCTGAATCTACGAGAGAAATTTTGGGAGGTGGCATGGGTGTTGAGGTCATAGGTGTAGGTTAAGGATTCTATCTAATGCCGCATGATGATGATTGTGATATTGCAGCTGGTTGCTGGTCATGATGTTTGATTCTGGCTACTCCATGTGGATGCCAGGAGAATGGTCATGCTCTTGATGGACAAACCAAAGGGGGAAGTGCTCACTAACATTTTTGAGGGTGGAGCTGAGAGTAGGAGGGGGTACTTTTGCAGTGTTTCTAGAAACTTTTGGTTTTCTGGTCAAGAAGTGTTAGGGCTGCAAAATGGTCTTATGTAAAATATAAATTACCATGGGTTTGAAGGTCATTCCAAGGAATCTAACATATTCCCAATTGTTTTTCGTTACGAGAAACAGTAGAAAGTTCTTTGTGGGAGCAGCTAGTGGCGTAGGGTTCTGTTGTTGATATAAGTTAATGTTGAAGCTGCCACTTCCATGACTTTAGACCATATTTGTTGGGAAGTCGATGTTGAAGCTGTCATTTTTCTATGTCAACGAAGTCATCAGATTAACCAAGAAAAAAGGAAAAATGAATTTATATTGTGTGTGTCAATTTTTGACCACACTGCCAAATTAGTACTTAGCTGGAGAGCACCGGTAGAATAGATTAAGCCTGAACGACCTGCAACAGAAAGAAGAGATTCCGGCGGTGGTTCATCCACCCGGGGGCACTCCGACGATCAAGTCAGTTATCTCTTAAAGATAACAAAAATGCTTAACTCACTATTCAGAATATAAATTGCGTACCTTAGACCCATGGGGGTGCCTCTCTTTTATAGCTAATATAATCTTAGTCCCAATAGAAGCCTAGCTCCAATAGACTTAGGATTACTGCTAATCTTGGACTCCCAGTAGGATTAGGATAAACTCTCTAAAAGTCTTATCTTTATCCAAACTGAAGTCTTCTCCCATTCTAGGACTCTTGTCCCTTATCCGCTTATCCCGAATTCCGGTATTCTCGCAGATAACCTCGGCTTAGTCGAGATCATCTCAACATCATGACCAGGACACGTGGCACCCTAGCTGGCACTTCGGTGACACCTTGGTCACGTGTTGTCATTCAAAATTTATGTCCCCACAACTGCCCCCTAGGTTCTATTACCTCGGCATCCTGAGATGATGGAACCTATATCAGTACTTCCTTCTAGCACGTCGGCTAAGCTCGCTTCTTTACTCATTGCCGAAGTAATAACTCGTCGGCTGAGTATGACTAACACCTATAGTCTGCTTCCATCAATGCCTCAGAACCATTAACCAGGGTTGTTCAAGTTTCTCAGCCGAGATCATCCTCCTAGCCGAAGTCTTTGCTTCTTTAAACTAAGAACTTCAAGAGTTCTATCACGCGTGTGAGCTGTTACACATAATATTTCAACTGTTTCTTCCACGCGTCCTTCCTTTACCGAAACGTACCTGACACGCGCCATCAATTTGCATCACTCGTGCGTGCGCCGTCTGACAGGCACGTCGTCCTAGGCACATTGATGATATTTTGCCGCCATTCTCCGCGTTTCGATCAAAAATCCCTTCTCTCTCTCTCCATCTCTTCACTTTTTGCATCCTCGTTCTCAAGCTCCCAACTCTTTCTCTCTCTAATTTTTTCTCCCAAATTTGCCATTGTCGCTCTCGCGAAGCTTTCTGCAATTACTTCCGTTCACCTCCTCCAGCAAAATTTCTGCTAATCTTTTCTGGTTGCTGCCACCGTCTGGTCTTGGCGACCTTAACACCGGCCTCGTTATCTGTGGTAAGTTCACTGTTCCCCCGTTTCAATTTTTGTTTTTCCTCAAACTGTTACATCTGTGTACTGCAATTACAACTTTATTCACATTTGTGTATTGAGTCCAATCATGCATTCTGATCGTATTCATCTCATGATTTTGCTTCTTGCCCAATCCGTTCTCTAATGTACACACAATACCCACATACTTGTTTACTCTGCCACTGTTCTTGGCCTTGCACCCTTACACACTTTGTCACAGTGTTCTTGATGGTTCACCACTATTCTTGATTCTGAATCGTTACTCTTGTTTGTTTTTTCTGTATTTTCTCCAGATTCTTGCCTTCAATCTTCATTTGCCTAGTCTTAGGTTTGAGGTTTGCCATAGAACACACGAATCTTAGGGAAAACTGAAACGAATCTCCCTCTGATCTACACAAATTCTTACCCTAGCGTGAACTTAGGTTTTTGCCGAGGTCTCTCAAACCCTTACAAAACACCTTCTTTTGAAATCCAACACCTTCCTTCCAAACCGAGGTCATGGGTATGTGGAGGCATAGGGTAGACACCCCATCCAAGTTAGAACACTTCAGGTAGGAGTTTGACATCCCGGCCAACGTTCATTTGAGGTTGGCCGGGAAAACGACTCCATCATGCCCGATGAAAACCTCATGCCTTTCCTTATTGTTGCCTTCATAGAATGTGGACTTAGGTTTCCTTTAGACATCCTTTTCCGAGAAGTTCTCCATTACTACAAATTGAACCCGATGCAGCTTGCCATTAATTCTTACCGAGTTATCAATGGTATAATAGCCTTAGCCAAACAAGAGAATGCTAGGGTAACCTTAGCCAAACAAGATAATGCTAGGGTAACCTTAGCCGATATCCAATACTGCTACACCATGTGTGGCCTCAAGTTAGAGAAAGGGTACATTTACTACCTCAAACCGAGGTCCACAGAGTATAAAATCGTTATCGACCTCCCAGACTCCAACAAGGGAACCGGGGACGATTACTTCATTGTCTCAGGAAACTGGGAGTTCGCTCCAGATGAGGACCTCCACCTCTACCCTCTTAGCCGAACAGTTTTTGTAGAAGGTAATGGTAAGAGCCAAGTTTTACACAGACTTACTTTTCAAGCCGTTTTAAAACTTATTCTTTCTGTATGTTCTAATGTCTGTGTTCTTTCGTATAGCTCTTCCACAGCCACCAAAGGATTTTCGCAAGTCCTTCTTCCCCAGCAAGGACTTGAAGAAGCTACTGGATCTGCCAGTTCACAAGCGGAGAGCCCGTTTGCTACTCAACTTCATTCCCACTTACAAGTCGGTTCTTCCCGACATTCCAAAGAAGAAGAAGAGTCAATCTCTTCCGTCCGCCACTACTTCTCCCACAACTTCATCATCTCGGCTAGATCAGGGGTCAACCTCTGATCCAGTAGAGCAGCCATCTACCTCGGCTCCACAACTGATCCCACCATCTCAACGCCGTCGACAACGCCGAACTGTTTTTGCTGCTGAGATGGGCCGCAAGAAAGTAGTCGCCGAAGATCTCTTGGCCGACATCCCATCCACCGTCGACGCCCAACCAGGGCAGTCCCAGCCTCCACCAAAGTCAAAGCCAAAAAGATTGAAGAAGGCTCAGCCAAAGGCAACGGTGACTCAGATTGATACTGAGGACACCTTGCCAATTTCAAAATTGGCTGAGAGTGAAAAGACCCCTTTTGCCGCCAAGAAGAGGCCCGCCGAGGCCGAACCATCTCAATCCACTCGGTAAAAAAGGCCAAGGTTTGAGTCAGCCACAACCTCGGGGCCAATGAAACCAGATGCCCCCTGGGCCCTCCCGATCACCGTTGAGGACAAGCCGGTCAGAGCTGGCGACAGTGCGACTGACCTCGAAGTCGGCGTCGCCCTCTCCACGGCTTTGCTACTTCCAAACGATCTTAACCGGAACGCCGAGATGAGCGAGTATGAAAACTTCGCTCTGATGCTCCAGCATTCTGTTCAAGTAAGTCTTTCTTACTCGGTATTTTTCTTTCTCCATTCTTTCATACTCAGAGAATTTTACTAACTTTTGTTCTGTTGATTTTCTTTTAGGCGATCCAGCACGCCCACTCTTTCTCTATGCAAGCTTTTGAATTGAGGAAGGAGTTGGCCGATAAAATAAGAGAGGTTGTTGGATTGCAGAAGACCTCAAAAAGGCCGAGGCAAAAATGAAGACTTTGGCCGACCAGGTCGAGGCAGCCATTCAAGCCAAAGACGAGGCCGAGGAAAAAGCTGACGCTGCCGAGGCTATTGCCAAGGTCCTCACGGCTGAAAAGAAAGAGGCCGAGACAAAGATGGCCGAGGCCCAAAAGGAACTACAAGATGCCTTGGCCACAAAAGCTGCCGAGATCAAGGCTTTCATACTCAGAGAATTTTACTAACTTTTGTTCTGTTGATTTTCTTTCAGGCGATCCAGCACGCTCACTCTTTCTCTATGCAAGCTTTTGAATTGAGGAAGGAGTTGGCCGATAAAATAAGAGAGGTTGCTGGATTGCAGAAGACCCTCAAAAAGGCCGAGGCAAAAATGAAGACTTTGGCCGACCAGGTCGAGGCAGCCATTCAAGCCAAAGACGAGGCCAAGGAAAAAGCTGACGCTGCCGAGGCTATTGCCAAGGTCCTCACGGCTGAAAAGAAAGAGGCCGAGACAAAGATGGCCGAGGCCCAAAAGGAACTACAAGATGCCTTGGCCACAAAAGCTGCTGAGATCAAGGTCGCAGATGAAAAGGCATACAATGAGGGGGTGGCCGATGTCATGGCGGACTACAAGAGTCAGGTGAAGCAGGC